CCCTACCCTGAGCGTGACTGAGGGTGGCATCGCAACCTCCCGCTCCGCCCTGCTCTGTGCATGACAGGGGGCAGCGCCCCAACTCCCCAATCGGCCCTGCTCTGAGCCCGACCAGGGGCTGCACCTAGGGATTGGGCCTGCCCTCTGCCACCCGGGAGCAGGCCTAAGCCAGCAGGTCGTTATCTCCTGAGGGGTTGCAGACTGTGAGAGGGCACAGGATGGGCTGAGGGACCCCCTCTCCCCCCCGAGTGCACAAATTTTTGTGCACCGGGCCTCTAGTGTCTAATAAACACAATGAAATACCATATTATATCCATTGAATTAACAAAAGTTTAAAAGAAATTGGTAATATCAAGTGTTAGAAAAGTTATGGATCCACAGGATCTCTAAGACATTGCTGGTAGGCATGAAACTTGTTGCAACCATTTTGGAAATCAGATCAGCATTATCGTCTAAATGTGAGCATTCATGCATTTTCCTAGTAATTCTACCCTTAGGTATACACCAAAGAGAAGCTCTTGCACACAGACAGGAAAAGACACATACAAGCACATTTATAAGCAGCATTGTTTACAAGAGCGAAACCTTTGCAACAACCCAATGCCCATCATCAGAAAAGTGGCAGAAGAAACTGATTATATTCACACAGTGGAATATGATATAGCAGTCGAAATCACAGACCAGCAAAAAGAAAAACGGGGCAATTTTAAATTCAGGACAAACAACATAATTTCTCAAGTAATCATAGATTAGCATATGGCTCAGTATGAATAATACATGAGCTTAATAAAGTCAACATTGAATAGTTATTTGACCTCAAGTTGTGAAATGGCCACGAAGAGAACAGAGTTTGGAATATACTATAGATATATCTGTGAGGGGGAAGTAAAAAAAGAGTTAAATCCCAAATTTCCACAGAAGGTGGTCAAAAGTTGGTTATTTAAAAGCAATCACTAAGAAGATAAGCATTTTACTTAGAGATATGCAGGTAAATACCAGAAAAAAAAAAGAGTTAAAAGTTTCTGGAGAGGGAACAAGGATAGAGAGGGCTGTTATTTTTATTTTGTGTTATTATATGCCTTGCAGTTTTCATTGATTCTATTTCACTTTCACAGCCATATATATGTATGCATATGTGTGCATGTCTATATCTATATATCTATATATGTCTATATCTATATATCTATATCTATATCTATATCTATATCTATATCTATATCTATATCTATTGAACTAACTTTCATTTAAAAAACAAGAATCTTCCATTTGGACCCGATAGATCTGACATTGCTGAGCAGAGAAATGGAGTTTCTAGAAGAAAACTTTTTGGCATTTTGGGGAACATTAGAGGGCAGTAGCAGAAATCTATTAAAACTTATGGTCCAACCCCCTCATTTTACGAAAATGAAACTAAGGCGTGATAAAACCAAGTCTCAAAATTAGAAGCTCAACTAAGACTAATCCTCAGGTGTCCAGGTGCCCAGGCCTGAGCTCTTCCTGCCGCACCCCACTGTGGGGGGAACAGGTGGCTCTGCAGCGAAGGGAAGGCTGACCCCCAGCTCTGAAATGGCACATGAAAAGCGTGGGAATGAGGAAGAGGTGCCTCAGCTCTGCACGGGCTAACTCACCTGCAGTGACCCTAAACATGCATATATGTGAGCATGTGTGTGCTTTCTGATTCTTGCTGATTTAGATGAGTCTAAGGATCAGACTGAAGTACAAGGAGTAATGAGAGCCAGAGAAATGTAAATAGATATGAAGGTGTCTAATTCCAGGCTTCAGATGAAGGACAGAGTGGTAATCTATTGGCTGAATGCGTGTGTAAATGCCATCATGTGTTTCCCACCCCTGGCCTAACATGGTGAAATTATCTAGTATTTATACGGGGAGTATTTACTCTTAGAGAGCCCAGAGGAAGACGCAGGCATTCCAACCAGAAACAGCCATTTGAGGAGGCATCAAGAGAACACTGATGGATCTTCAGTTACTACCACCTTTATTAAAACGAAGTTCTATGTGTTTTAACCACTTGGAATATCCATATTTATAATAGTTAATTTTTGAGATTGTCTATATCCTCACATAGCAAAGTGTCACTGATGGATGGGCAGTCTGGACATCAGCTGGGAGCTTGTTAGAAATATAGCATTTTGAGCCCCACCCAGACCAAGTGACTCAGAATTTAACAAAATCCCCAGGGTTTTCACATGCACATTACAGTTTGAGAAGTTCTGGCTGATAGCCTTATTTTCCAGGTAAAATTATAATTTTAATTGGAGTTGGAAGCTATGCAAATAATCAAAGATATCCTGAAATAGTGATAAATAAGCAATGATATCTTGAAATAAATTAAGATAAACAAAAACTGCCTGGCCCGGCTGGTGTGGCTCAGTGGTTGGATGTCAACCTATGAATCAGGAGGTCATAGTTCGAATCCCGGTAGGGGCACATACCCAGGTTACAGGCTCGATCCCCAGTGTGGGGTGTGCAGGAGGCAGCCAATCAATGATTCTCTCTCATCACTGATGTTTCTGTCTCTCCCTCTCCCTTCCTCTCTGAAATCAATTAAAATATATATATATGAAAAACCACCTGGAGGACAAGCTAAGCTCTGTAATAAACATCAAATGCTCAAAGTGGGAACTGTATTTCTCAGCTATGGTATTTACTACAATCAAATGGAAGAGGGGAGCAATGCTGGGTGCTTTGGGACTGCTTAATGGGAAATCTGGTGATCTGCCATGCTTCTCTTAGCATCAGGCAGCTTTGGAGTGTGCCCTGATTCCCCCATCACAGTGCAAAAACAGTACTGTGTCTTGAAAAAAAAAAGAAATATAGAAATCTGACCTCAGGTGGCTTGGCAAACTGGCCAAAAAAAGCCCCAAAAAGAAACCCCAATAAACAAACCCAATAAATGGGAGAAGTCTGTCCAGAATCCAAATAAAGTTGATAGTATTATGAAAAAAAATACTCAAGGACTTAAAGGATATCTTTTATTAGACAAGTGGTCAGATGACAAAACCCATTAGGTACACATATCAGAGAATCAATTAAAAGGAACACTCACCGAGAGGAAAGGCTTGGCTTCCCACTTTTGCTGCAGCTGGTATAAATTCCTGGGCCATCATCAAAGAAGCTCCCGAGTGCCAACTTCTGTCTGATAGATTCTCTCTCATTTTTCTGTGCCTAAAATTTCAGGAAAATAAAAAATGCCGATAAGTGGGCAGATACATCACAACCATAGGCGGTCTAACTGCTAAGTTTCTTAGAACTGTAACATTAGATGAAAAATAAATACATAGGCCACAGCCAAGAGCATTTGAATTATTAAGAGTTGGAATTAAACCAGCCTCTCCTGGTTCCACCTCTGCGAGCAATTTCAGTTCTTCGGAGCCGTTCCGATCGTTAGTCTAGGGCAGTGGTTCTCAGCCTGTGGGTCGCTACCCCTTTGGTGGTCGAACGACCCTTTCACAGGGGTCGCCTAAGACCATCGGAAAACACATATATAATTACATATTGTTTTTGTGATTAATCACTATGCTTTAATTATGTTCAATTTGTAACAATGAAATCGGGGGTCACCACAACATGAGGAACTGTATTAAAGGGTCGCAGCATTAGGAAGGTTGAGGACCACTGGTCTAGGGAATCACCATTGTGGTGCTAAAGATCTTCACCAGCACTGAGCTAGATTTCCTGGAGCTGTGATCTTTCTTCTTACCTGCTAGATTCGACAGAGTAACGCTGTGGAGGGCAAGCATTTCGTCCTAAATCAAATCGCTTTATCCCAAACGGGTCCTCTCCCTGATTCCTGTCTTCTCTCTTGCTTTGATCATCCCTTCAGCCCACTTTGTCTACAGCAAGAACATTTTCATTCATTCATTCAACCAGGATGCACTGAACCTCTATGAGAAGGGGGTGCCACACTATGGCGCGGGGACAGGGTCCTGGACGGATGGACACAGCTTCTGCTGCCACCACAATCTGTCTCGTTTCCATTCAAGACTCATCCTGATCTCACCAGGCTCAGAATACGAGATGCCCTAACACACTGTGTGGAAGAGCTGGAGAATGCTAACTGAACCCATCTGGTTCATATTTTGAAGGGAAGTCAGGTCGATGTGCAAAGGAAAGGATCTGGCAAACGGCACTACACTACGGAGATAATTTGGGTATGTTTACAACACTCGGCTTCCCATAAAAGTCCCATAAAAACTCACCATGCTGAACTTTTAAACCCTTTAAACAACAGGAGAGAAGATTAGGAATGATTTTCTTAGTTAAAAATAAAACAACTACAAAAACGAACATCATGAGTTAGAAATCCTGGGTGAGAAAGAGGTCCTGGTTTTGCTTTGTGGGATGATGAAGGCTGTGAGCAGCATCACTGTACGTTCTGAGCAGGGAGGCTAAAGACTATGCTGAGCCAACTAGATTACAAAACCTAGCTCACGTGCCTGGATGTGGTGGCTACAGAAGGCACAGTGGCCCCTTGATCCTTCCAGTAGGAGGTTCTGGAGCCACATCTGCTGCCACCGGAACCCAGAAGTTAACTGTGAAAGGTCTGAGCCATCGTCTGAGCGTCACTGTGACGAAATGCACACCTGCTGGAAGGATGGGCTGAAAATGGCTTCATTTCACTCCCAAGTGGAGGGCAGTGCACCTAGGTCAAGGCTGCTCTCACATGGTAGAAATTCTTCACACGCGGCTGTTTACATTCTAATTAAAATTAATTAAAATAAAAGTTCCATTTTTATTTTATGAGCTGCATTTGAAGAGCACCACAGCCACAGGTGGACAGCACAGAATAAATATATGTCAGAGCAGTACCGCTAAGCCAGTTCTTCAACAGGTGTCTTGTTATGTGAATGAGGTGACTTCTGGAAAGTACCTAAGGTGGAGGCTGGTTGTCAGGAGAACCCACCATGTGACTAGAGCAGTGATGGCGAACCTATGACACGCGTGTCAGAGGGGACACGCGAACTCATTTTTTGGGTTGATTTTTCTTTTAAATGGCATTTAAATATATAAAATAAATATCAAAAATATAAGTCTTTGTTTTACTATGGTTGCAAATATCAAAACATTTCTATATGTGACACGGCACCAGAGTTAAGTTAGGGTTTTTCAAAATGCTGACACGCCGATCCAGTGATGGCGAACCTATGACACACGTGTCAGAGGTGACACATGAACTCATTTTTTTGGTTGATTTTTCTTTGTTAAATGGCATTTAAATATATAAAATAAGTATCAAAAATATAAGTCTTTGTTTTACTATGGTTGCAAATATCAAAACATTTCTATATGTGACACGGCACCAGAGTTAAGTTAGGGTTTTTCAAAATGCTGACACGCCGAGCTCAAAAGGTTCGCCATCACTGGACTAAAGTGATGGAACTTCCAGTATCTGCCTCTCTCCCCACCTCTGGGGACGGGGTTTGAAGAACTTAGTTAGTGAACACATGGAGATGTGGGCAGAGTGGGGCACCTGGAGAGGGCACTGAAGCTCTGTGCCCCTTCCCACACTCCTTGCCCCATGTCTCTCTTCATCTGGCTGTTCCTGAGTCATAGCCTTTTCTAGTAAACCAGTGTTCTGGTAGGTGACACGATCCTCTGAGTCCTGTGAGCCATTCTAGAAATTAATTGAACCCAAAGAGGGGGTTGTGGGAATCTTTGATTTATAACCAGTAGGTCAACACCTGGACTTGCAACTGGCATCTCAAGTGTGTGTGTGTCAGGGGGCGGGGAGTCTTCTGGGACTGAACCCTCTGGGCAGACAGCGTCATAATTTAGTTGAATTCTTGGGCACCCTGCTGGTGTCCAGAACCATTTGTTGGTGTGGGTGCAGGGAATTCCCCCACGTTAGAATTGGGTCTGGGAACCCTAATTTAGTGTATAATACAGCCACAAAGCAAAAGTCTACTTTTACACAGTTACAGCTGATTTCATGTGGTTTACTGGGCTAGCACAGCACTGAGCTCCAAGAAAATAGCCATGAGGTTGTAAGGGAAGCCAGAATGCCTTTAATTTCATAAATACTTGTGAGTGCACTGCTGGGAACCTTAACTAAAGAAACCCGCCCTTCCAAACAAGCAGGGCTGGAACTGGTGATGGCCCTGCCGAAATAGAACCCTATCAATCGTTATTTAAAATAAATTCATTTCAAAATCCCCAAATCTGCCATGAAGATTGAATGTAGTCAGTGAACCTGTTCTCAGTCCATACAATAGACAAAAGAGAGTCTCACTCAATGTCCTCTAATCAGAAAACTGTTGAATGGAACTGAGTACCCAAACATAAAAACAGTAGATAACAACAGATCCTAACATCTTAGGCTCAACAACTCGCTGGTGTCCAACATTAGCCTGGGGTCTGGAAGAGGTTTATTTGAAGAAGACACCTACTCCAGGTGTGAATGTGTGAACGTGCCCTAGATTCCATGTCTGCCTTTTCTGATCTACTTGAGCTATAGATGTAGGAGAAGGCCTTAAAAAGAATTCCATTTACACGAATTACAATTCTCTCTACCCAAATACTTCATTAACGGTGTGAAGGGGACTGTTCTATAATACACCATCTTTCCCCCTTCTTTCTCTCTGGACCCAACAAATCAAGAAAAGCATAAAGAATATAAATGTCACGCACAATTCCACCACTTAGACACAGACCACTGCTAACATTTCAGTATATTTCTCTGTAGTTTTTAAATCTTATGTGTGCAGTATTTTCTTCTTTAAAATTGAGTTTATAGTGTTTATTGTATTGAGAATGTCCCTCATTTCATTTAAAATTCTTTAAAAACAATTTTTTAAGGGCTGTCCATCGCTCTACCCTATGTTAACCATTTAGGCTACATCCAATGAAAAGCAACCTAAGTTAGCATTTTTACATAAACCCTGCCCACATGTCAGATTATTCCCTCAGGATAAATTCCTGGAAGTGGAATTGCCAGATCAGCTCAGGGTGAACATTTGTTGAGGCTCCGGACACATTCTGCCACAGGACTCCACAGAAAGCTGCTCCAATTTACATGCCCACGAGCCACGCGGAAGCGTACAGCTTTCTCTTACATCCTGGCTAACACTGAGGATTTTCACTTAACAAACTGCTGTCACTTTAAATTTGATAGGTCGGTCAAAGGCATTCTTTTTATTTTAATTTCTTTACCAATGAGATTAAATATTTAAATATTTTTAGTTATAGTACTTGCTTTCCTCTGAATTTATTTACTCCTAGCTTTGCTTATTTTTCTATAAAGTTCTGAGAGTTTTGAAATTTTTATATCAAGGGTCTTAGTCCTTTTGAATTTTAAGTCTAACTACTCTGTAGTTTAAGTCTATAGCTGGCTTCCTCTGTCCTGTCTTTGATGTCTTTGTGCTTGCACAGCCCTTCCCAGTCCAGAGGTAAAGGATCTCACTTGACATTGGAGGATTAAATGAGAGAATTTAAGTAGACTCTTCAGCAGCTGTACCTGGTCCCTGCTCATGTAAACCTACCATCAATGGTAGCTGTTGTGGCTAATCCTCCAACAATTCCTGCTTTGATGGTGAGGAAACGAGGGGATGGAAGGTTACCCATGGATATCGAGGAGCTAGGACTCCAGCCCATCCTCCCAGCGCTAGTCTTTCTGCTCCTTCACACTGATGAGTAAGGTGCCCAGTTGGACACTGCGGTGGGGACACAAGGTGAGAATTAAAGAGCTAGAGATCCACGACTTTCCTGAGATGGATGTGATGCTTTCTCAGGGAAGGAGAAAGCCCTGGGCTGCAAAGCATATCCCAAGGCCTAATCACAACCACAGATATTTACAACGCAAACACCCTCTCATCAGAGCCAGTCTCCTTGACACCACTGCTCACTCTTCCTTTGGGAACAAATGTGATTCCCAATGTTTCAAGTAATTATGATGCAACTGACTAGCAAATACCTTTTCTCTTAAAATTCAACAACTGGAACCCAATTTCCTTTTGGTTGCCCATACGTGCAAAGTGTGTGTGTGTGTGGTTTCAAAGCCCTTTTGTTTTCTAAGGAATTACACCTGCAGAGCAAGTATGTCCTTAGCAAATACCTTTTCTCTTAAAATTCAACAACTGGAAACCAATTTCCTTTTGGTTGCCCATATGTGCAAAGTGTGTGTGTGTGTGTTTGTGTGTGTGTGTGTGGTTTCAAAGCCTTTTTGTTTT